TAAGGGTTAAATAGGCCTATGTGGAACCCCGCTGAGGACCGTCGCGGAGGATAATTTCCGCAGTTCAATGAATACCTTGAAAATACTGGATGAACTGGCGGAATGTCGATGTCAAGCCATCGTGATTAATATTTGAATCGTTTATGAAAAGAAGGCCACCTCTGCCTCAAATTTTGTCAAGCAATTGGACGACAGACAAACAGACTGTTCGTTTATTATATACTTGAGTTGATTTTTATTGCGAATATGCTGAAACACGTGTCGACGTATTGCCGGAAAGGATTCGAGGGGCCTCCGCCTCCTGTTGTGGGCTGTCGCTTCGGCTTTCGGCCTGCCCCACACCGCCCCGCACCGCCCCGCACGATGCGTGCATATCGAATTCGCTTTCTTTCTACTTACTTTCCTTTATTTAGGGTTACATTTAGGGCTGCCCCCCCGCCACCCACCCACACCCACATTGTCACTTTTGTGTGGGCTCTACGTGCGGTTGATTGATGGATTCGCTTGTTTACCCGTCAGGCCAGAGTACAACAAGAATGCGGATTGGTGGGTAGCCCCAAGCCCCAGCCCCAGTCCCACACACGACGAGATTTCGAAATAAGCAATAGTCATCAGTAATCGTGATATATCATATCGTATCCGTACGGGAACAAGAGCACGACCATGATATGGGTCGTTTTTTTTTTTTTTTTTTGTATTTTTTGTTGCTCTCAAAGTTTCTCAAAACGATTTTGCTTCGATTTCATTTTCTGTTTTTTTTACTTTATTCAACTCAACTTTATTTCTCTCGTTCTGCGGTCTTTTATTTTGTGACAGCCGCCGTGGGGCATTCACGGAATAAATTTTAAAGTCATCTCAAAGATCGGAATGGGACGTACATAAATCATAGCCAATCATTGGCCCAGTGGCGGCTGGTGGGGTGGCGTTTGGCGCGGGGCGAGACAAAACGCTTCCTGATGGGGTTACATTTTGAGAAGATTTCCAAAAATATGCATAAATATTGTCCAACAAGAGTGGGAAGCGAAGCTAATGAAGAAAGATGGTGGTTTATCTCCGAGTGTCACCCAGTAATCCGGGGTGCAAAATGTTCAGATTTCGAGTTGAGTGTTGAAAGGAAAAGGAACACACAACTATAATTTTGTATGCGATTTAAGACATGTGCACAGAGGGAAAGCACTCTGCCATTCAGAATTATTTCACATAAAATCTTGAATAATTTTTACCCGGACACATTTCACATTTCACATTCCACATTCCACATTGCAAGATGATCTAATAAACTTGCTTGAATGTCTGCAAAATCCCATTTGAAGTGGCTCTGAATCTCCGTCATTCTGTGTGCGTGTTGCTTGACTCTCATTACAATTGCAAAAGGAACGAACGGAAAAAGGCCCCCCCCCGGCCAAGGGTTCTGCAGGCCAAAGAATACGCATTTCATTTGCAGCCCCCTCGGAGCCACGACTAGCCGAGTAGAACCCAGAAAAGCCATCTAAAAGTTAATTACAATTGCCTCGGCAGTCGACAGTCGACAGTCGACAGTCGACAGTCAGCGCTGTTGCAACTTTAACTGCCGCAACGAGTTCGCATTAAGCCAAAACGAGGCACAAAAAAAGCCAAATAGAAACCAAGAAAGTAAGTCAAAGTTACACCAAACGAGGCAACACAAATACCCTAGAAAGTTTTGATCCAAAGTCTCATTTGTGGCACATGTAGGGATATGTTTTTTTAGCCATCCATCAACGCGGGCCGTTACTCGGCGGCCCGACGACTTCCCTTCTCCCTTTTCGAACAGGAAACATCTTCTGGCCTTGGTTCGTTATGCCCTCCGTCCAGGGTATACGGAAAAATGGCCACTCCCAAGCCCCAAGACCCAGCCCCAGCCCCAGCCCCAGCCCCAGCCCCAGCCCCAGCCCCAGCCCAGAGCCAAAATGAAGTTCAAGCCATAAGCAGTGCCAGTGGCAGTGTGGCACTGTGGCAATATCTAGCTGCTGCAGCTCGGCTCTGACTCTGGCTCTGGCTCTGGCTCTGGCACGGGGACGTATAAATATTAAAAAGAAAATCTGCTACATGGCTACGTGCAACGCATTTCAACGCAACCAACGCGACCTAAACGACCTCCTGGCCCCAGTGCCTACACACACACTGACACACTGACACACCACAAACACACACGCAGACACAGAGAGCGAAAAGGATACAGCAGGCAAAGTAGGAAGAAAAAACGAAGAAGAAAATGAAGTGAAATTTACTTTGACATATTTTTGTGCTTAGCAAAGCAAATACTTTCATTATTTTTCCTGTTGGGCCAGGCTCCTTTCCATGGCTCGCACAGAGTTGCATTTGAGTGGCTTAAAACATTTTGCCGGGGAATCCCCACTTATAGATGACCGGCAGTCCGGGGGCGTGTCCTCTCAGCCCCCCACCCCCACCCACCAAGCGGCAATTTGTTTTGCCTAAAACCAGAGGCCAGAGCCTCCTCGAACTGATTTCAGATAGGACACGAAAAAAAAACAATTTTAGGAGCGGAAACTTTGCTTAGATTTGGAGACTACACTTCGATTATTTTTGGAGGGAAATAATGGGAAAATTATCTGCCTTTAAGTGATATTTTTGGTGTTCTTTTGAAGGAGGATTGTCCTCCCAATGATAATCCTTATTATACTCCATTATTAATGAAATATTTCCCTCTCTGTTTGTGTTTTCTTTACTTGCAGAACTCTTAGTGTTGTGCGTCTATGAGGAGAACAGCAAAGTTTTTTGTTTTTTTTTTTTGGGCTCCAACTGCCTGCACACCCTCACACGGACGGACAGCAACAGAGACGGACAGGGACAGGGACAGGGACAGGGACAGGATACAGGCAGACAGGAGACAGCAGACGGATGTGTGTGTGAGCGACGGTGAGCGGTGAAGCAGAGTCGAGTCGAGGTGAGGTGAGAAGAGGGCTGCGTGTAGGCAGAAGGTGGCAGCAGCTGGACGCTGGACCTGGACCATGGATTGGACTCGGTGGCAAGAGGCCAGAGAAGGAGCTGGCAGCGGCAGCAACAACACCCGGAGTGGCAGCAACAATTGCGATTGTGAGACACGGCACAGCCATCGGCTGTTGCACATTTGATTCGTCGAGTCGAGGCTTCATCAGTAGGTTCAATCAGATCAGTCAGTCACCCACTCTCAATCAGTCGCCAGTCAAGCGCTTGCTTGTCGTTTGTCACACCATCATCCAACGATACTTAATCGACGATTAACCAAATTAGCAAGCGATCAAGACATGCACATTACTGTAAATAAAACGCAGATATACTAGTTTCATAAAACAGCCAACAATCAACTAAACCAACTAAAAACAACAAAAAAAAACCCCCCAAGAACAACCAAATAGTGAAGTGTTTTCCAGTGTATTGCCACAAAAAACCACAACGAATCGGCTGAAGAAAAACAGAACCAAAAGGGGATAGGGCGGCGCATGCTGCGGTTGGCTCCAGCCACAGTCTGGGGCAGCCAGCCCTCAATACAACCCAAAGGTCGAACCAGAACCAGAACCAGAACCAAAACCAGAACCAGAACCAGAACAACAGCATAACGCCCCAAACACTGCCAATGCCATTGCCATTATCCAGACCAACGTTCGCTCATCATCGTTCGTTTAGATTTGACACAAGTGAGTTTAGATCGAAACTATTTATCATTATCCATGCATATGTATCTTCTAACTAACTAGCAATATCAATAGATCTTCTAGCTCTAAGTATGTGAACTGTATATAAATCCTGTCTTCTCTAAGAACTAGTTGTCATACATCTGCGAGGGGAACAAGTACTTGGTTATTGGAGGGCAGTAGTTATATCTCTCTCTCTCTCGCTCTACAACAATTGTATATAAACATTTAATATATCATCTTTAAAAACAATTAGTTGTCACAATCGTACATCCACGGGGGGATGGGAACGTATCCATCGAGATCCCTTGAGCCGTTAAGAGCCACTTATACCACTTTTCACGGGCCACTCTTTGGGCCGCAGGTCCGCAGAATCCAACAACAAAAAACACACACAAGAAAGCAAAAACCGCAGCCTATACCGATGCTGGGACTCGGTCATGTACAAGACATCAAATTTGTTGTGGAATTCGCTTTGCATTTTCTCGGTCGGGGAGTCGCTACCGATTGAGGTAGTCCATCAAAGTGGCTCTCATTGAATCACTTAACCCACGGCACCCCACCATAGAGCCAGTTGTCGCCACCTCAAGCGGACAGCGAAGAACAAAGACCGCGAACGACAACGACAACGACCACGATTCGCATACCGATTCGATCCATCAATTAGTTGTGCACTAATTGCGACTAGCAGCCCCAACACCCCGTAAGCCCCCATCCACTGACCACTAACCACTAACCACTTGCTCCCTCAGGTGGCACCCTAGTTTCCATACGAGGGGTCTCCACTCCCTCGTGTCCACTCTCAATCACAATCACAATTGCAATTGCCATCTGCAATCTGACAAATCAAATCTTGTATGCAAAACAGCAACAGCGGACGGGGAACAAGCAGCCAGAGCCACGTGAGGCGCCAAGCAATTTGTACAAACATTTGCGCAAACAAAACGCAAGCGAGTGAGGAGCGGTGGAGCGGTGGAGCGGAGGAACAGCTGTACGGCCACTCCGTGGTCCGGCCGTCGCGTGACCCGCGAGTTTTGCACAATAAACAACGTAATTGCTCATAACGCAGCCCCGGGCAGGAGTGGAGCCCTTTGAGGAGTGCTGTCCAGTGAATGACCCACGGAGGAGGCAGGAGCTGCAAAGCAGGGCGTCCGGAGAGTGGGAGAGTGACGATAACTAACCGTTTATAGCAATTATACGACCGAGGCCGAGGCCGAGGCCGAGGCATACGGGCAAGAAGTGATTTGTGAGTGCGTGCCGAGTGTGTGTGGTGGCTGGTGGCTCGAAACAATTAGACTCCCGGGCGGAAATCCACCCGGAAGAGTAGCACCCACTCGCACCCCGGCTGGCTAGATGTATAAACCGGACACCCTTACGCGCCGCGGCAGTCTGAGATCCCTGCGAAGCGCCCCCCTACTGAGCACGGTGCTGGAGAGCACCCTCTCGCTGACCCGCATCCATCCGATCGCCTCGCTGGAACTGCCCGGCCTCGACTATGCCATTCAATCGCAATCGGCTCTGGGCGGCCTTGGCCACCATCGCGAACTAGGCACCTCCCTGCGCAGTGGCATTGCAGCGATCACAGCGGCCAGCGCCTCCGCCGGCGGCCTCTCCCAATCGCAGAGCGCCCTCTTGGGGCGGTACGGCCCAAACGCCTCCATACGCCACAACGAGCGAAAGATTGTCCAACCGAAACGGTACGTCCGAAAACCTCTCTACTTACTCATCCATCCTGGTAGTGTCTTAGAAGGGACATACAATAAATGCATATAGATCTACCTGCATCGCAGTACGAGTACGAGTACGGTAAGAACGTGGTGTGTAATGTCCTTCCAGCCATCCTGTTGGAGGGAAGATGGTGGTAGGTCCATTACAGGTTGTTTTCTCATACTTTTCTTAATTATTTTAAGGATAAATAGCATCAAAACTAGTACTAGTGTATTCCATTCAGAAGATCCCATATCATTCTGTATCTTTTATTTACAATATTTACATCCGCTGGCTCTCAAACTCTCCAGAAATCATCAAAGAAATGCATCAGACTAGGGCGCAAGCCCATGGCCAACCCCCGGCTCACTCGCTTCCAGCGATACGAGTCAAATATCGGACAACGACGACGACCGAAAACTGTTTATATACTAGGGAGATCACCTTGCCAGAAATATTTTATTCTTTATACACAAACGCCAGTCAATAGAGCAAGCCATGCCGTCCACTTGATCACCAGTCGCGCATGGGACACCAGCGCTTCAGGTTGCCGTCCCACGGTAGGTCGTCCAGGCCCGCCCGGGCGGCTATCACAGCCTTCACGCGATTGGCGAAACGCACTGGGGACTCGCCGGGCTCGCGGATCATGGGTGGTAGGTACCAAATGTCGCAGCTGAGGCACCAGGAGCTGACCAGCATCACCATGTAGCGGAACATCGAGTAGCGGGTGCTGTCCCAGTAGGCCTCCCCGTAGCGGCGGTCGTAGCGGATGGCCACCGGGTAGACGATGTCGCTGACGGCGAAGCTGCCCTTCTTGAACTGCATTACGGCGGTGTTGTTGATGCACGTGCCCTCGGGGAAGAGGAGAATCGGCGGCTTGTCCGGGGACTGCATGTGCTGGCGCAGGGCCTCGCCGAGGGCCTCACGCTCGCCCGGGATGCGCCGGTTGAACCACATGTGCGGCGAGACCCGCGACAGGGAGCTCTGGAAGATGCCGAGAATGCCGTCGTGTCGCTGGCCGGTCAGCGAGTAGTGCACATCGCACATGAGGATGAGCACGTCCAGCGGATTGGTGTGGTTGCACACACAGATGCCCTTGGTGGGGCGGTGCTCGGTATTGTGGTATCGCCGCATTATCGGCACACAGTTAGCGTTCATGCGTAGGGTCTGGCGGAGCAGCCACTTGGCCACACGCCGGTTGCACGACAATCTGCAGAGGAGCCCGATCAGGGCCGTGCTCGCCGGCACCACCACCAGGCAGCTGAGGCACATCACCGTCCGCAGGGGCATCAGCAGTGCATAGCGAAAGAGCAGTCCCAGCAGCCAGACCACTCGCAGCCTCCAGCTGAGCCGACCCACATGCACCGAGAGGTCACGCGTGAGCAGATTCCACTCACCCGCCGGCAGTGGGGCGGACACAAACCGGGTGGTCACATCGTCCTCCAGCACCAGCGCTATGCCCTCGGATATTATGTCGCAGCACAGCTCCATCTGGTGGCACAGCCGACTCTTCTGTTCGGACAGTATATTTTTGTGGCTTCTTCGGCGCGAATTTAGGCTCGACTTCCGCCTTTCCATGACTTCCGGGTTCTGTGTCCAGCCCTCGCCCAGGCGCTGGAGTTCCTCGCGCTCGCTGGCCTGCCGCTCGGCCTCCAGCTGCCGCGAGCTCCACTTGAAGAGGCACTCGAGCAGGCCCAGGTACACGTTCTGCATTAGGACCAGGCCGAAGCTGAAGATCAGGCCAATGGACACCAGTGGGACACACATGTCGTCTGGAAAGTTGAATTCTGTAGCACATTCAAACGAAAGACTGCTTATTATGACAGCTAAATGCCGGCCAGTGTGGCTTGGCTTTGTGTCCCTGTGTTGAATAGTGTTGGAAAGCACTCACTCAACTTAAGTGTTGGAAAGAACGAGGGCGAAAAGTAATATTTGAAGCGTTCCAAGGCTATGAAGCTTGAAAGGAAAAAGGAAAAATCTCTTTATTCCCCCAGTAACATTTGCCCCACAAATTTCCCAATTAAAGGCCCAAATTCAATTTGGCCCCCCACCACGGCTATTGCTGTCCTCCGTCCTGGCCTTCTTTGTTGAGCGCCCGAAAGACTTTTGATTTATTTAGCCAAAAAAAGAGGAAAAAAATTCAAGAAAAAAAAACGAACGAACGAAGAGCTGGAAAAGCTGTAAAGGAAGGAAAAGAAGGAAACTTTGCCGTCGTCGTCGTCGTCGAGAAGTCCTTTGCCAGGACAGGGTTTCGGTGTAGGGTTTTTGGGCCTCGTTTGTTTTTTCATATGGCAATAATTCAATTATGCCATAACAAGGCCGCAAAATGTTTGCCCCAGGCCCCTGCCCCTGTCCCTGCCCCTGTCCCTGCCCCTGCCGCAGTGAAGTCCTGACCCGAAATCACTTAAAAACCACAAAAACTTCTGGCTTTGTTAATTCGTTAATTAAATGGGCCTGGCTGACTCCCGATGACAGCTTGTAAACAGAAGAGCCCCCACCGAAAAAAGAAAACTTTAAGGATTACGCAATGAACGATGATGATGGGTGATGGGGGGGAGGGGGTGGGGGGGGCATGGGCAGGGGCATCCCTTAAGCTGCCTTTCCTTCCATTGATTACATTGGGTGGCAACAATCTTTGCTTATCAAATGCAAACAACGTCGACAGACAACGTCGAACGACAACTCATTTAGGCCCAGGCCCAGGCCCGGCCCCTTAATTAGCATAGAATGTGTTTTAAAAAGCCACTTGAGCTAAACATTCCAAACACCTCCGCCACCTGACTGTGTGCATCCTCCATCGTCGTCGCCATCGCGGACCCATCAACGACTTTTCCACTTGCCAGCGACAACGACCTTAGGCGCTTGCGGCCGAGTCTGCGGAGACGCCTCCGCCTGTCTCCTGTGTGCGTGTGTGTGTGTGGCACAGTTGGGCAAGTCTGGGGCCGGACAGATTTAGATACTCTAACGAATGGTGAACGAATTAAGGAAGAGCCCTTGTCTGCCAGAAGGCGTTTGTAACAGGTGAAAGCCGAGGCCGTGGCTAGTCCTTGGAATCATGGGTATTTCAGAGCCCCAAACGAATCGAGATGATTGTGGACTCAGGAGATATCCTTACAGGATGCTCGGAGTAGTGTATAGATCGCTGCGGTGTCCTGCGGCTGCCTGCTGTGGGGGTCTCCCCGGCACGTGACGCTCGAGTGTTGGGATAAGCATTTCCGCTCTTCAGACGTAACACGAAAAAAGCCCCCACACCCACCGCCAGTGACAAAGCGCCTGTTGTGGGCGCATGAGGGGGGGGGGGGTAGGCAAATGAGGAAGCACAAAATGAAATTGTGACGCTGACGCTGGGGCACGCCCCCACGTACGCCCACCTGCCATTCAAAAGTAATTTAGCGTTTAAAAAACATTTTTCTGCCTGACTTTTAAAAAAGTTGCGCGTAATGCGAGTGGGGAGTATCTATGTATGTGCGTGTGCGTGTGCGTGTGTCCGTGTGTGTGTGCGTGTGCTCAACACTCACCTGCTTGACGCCGTCACACGTTCCGAAGTCGATGTCGTTGTCGCTGTCGCTGTCGCTGTCGTCGTCTGTCTGATCCGCCTGATTGTATTATGGCCCCACGATGCAGGACTCGACAAGGATACTCCGCAGAGCTACCGGAACTTTTGTTTATTGACTCTGACGTCTCACCGACTGGCTACGTGCGGGCTTAGCCGGAGTTCGGGTTCGTGTCGATGGCAGAAATCGCGCTCAGATTGGGAGTACTTGTGGAAAGATTCTCGGCTACTGGGGGGGGTTGGGCGGTGGGAAGTATAATATGTATTGTATGTATATGCTATAGCTAGAAAAATATACTGCGGAATGGCAGGAAACGACTGTGTGACTAAATGCCGTATTTCAGTGTTGAAAAACTAGGGGGGAATACGACCTCCCCCAATGGTCAAGGGCCAGCGGACAGGAGAGGTGTGCTCTGTGCCGGGATAATTCCTGCTTTCGGGGACCCCATTCGAAAGACATTAGCAGCATTTTCATAAAAAAAAAAGACCCCTTTCTATGGCCCGCTCGCTGCCAAGTTAATTAAAAAAGTGTTTCCATTTGGCTTTGACCCTCAGCGGTCGAGCGGGCGAGCGGGCGAGCGACATAAATCCCTTTGACACTCGATGGCATCTCCCACATTGGCCCAGAGCTCAGGGCCCCTCTCGTAATTGGTTTATGCCATTTACTTGGCTTGTTTACCCGCAGACAACATTTGCATAATGGGACAGAAACAGAGCCCAGACGAAGGAGTACCGGAGCACCCAGAAACCGGGAATCAAAAACAAGAAATGTGATTTATAATTTTTTGTACTTTTTGTTGTTGCTTGCGGAGCATTTTAATTAGCCTGAGACCCGGGGCCCCCCCTCCCCCACCCCTCCGGAAAGGAGATCAGTGGCAGGGCCAGAGCGTCGACCCATTGGCTAATTATGTGCGGGGGGGGATGCGGCAGGATGCTTGGCGGTTCGTCGGTGTTTTTGGTGTCATCAAGTCATTATTTAATATAAGTCCGCTTTGATAAATTATTTCCTGTTTTGATGGACGCTACGTGACGAAAGTTGTCAGACCAAGGAAGTGGCCCCCGGGGGGTGGGGGGTGGGGCAAAACGTTTTTGATTTGCGGCCACGTTAAGGAGTTTACCAACCATTCATCCATCCAGCGCCATCCAGCGGCCATTCATTCACTCCCCTTCGTCGTGGGGATTACTTTGGAGGTTTACTCTCGCTGTGTTGTGCGTTTATTTGCAGCAATTAATCAATTTGGCCAGCGCGGTTTTTGTTGAATAAGTGATAAAGATTTATCACTTATACCCAAACCAAAGCAGTCCTTGGTCCACAGGCCCTAGTCCACTTCTAAGGACCCCTCTTAAAGAGCATTAAAGTCTGCATAGAGACGCAGAGACAGAGAGAGAGTCGAGTGCCGAGTGCCGAGTGCCGGCGGAGCACTCAACGTTCATTGAACCAAACATTTTGACTTTTGCGTCTGAACGCACATGAAAAGCTCTTGGAAAATGTACGAATTGAGTGTGCCAGAAAAGCGTGGCGCGGGGGCTAGTCGAAGCGAGGGATTCGGTATTTATTTTTTGACTAAGAACCGACAAAACGGCTGTCATACTCTTGTAATAAGCAGAAGTTGCGGCCAGTCCCAGTCGAATGCTGGAATGCTCTGTCCTGTCCTCCATCAAAGTCTAGATCTAAACATAGGAACATGTGGATAGGAACAGCGGAAAGAAGCTAGAGTTTCGTGCACTCTAAGAAAACGATGGGAATGGAACACTATCACCATCTTTTCGGCTTGGGATCCATAGCATAGATCCCATCTGTAGTCTTTAAACCACTCTCCATTTCCCCATTAAGTTTCTGCGGGGATTGCCGCCTGGATTTTGTGAATAGGAACAGCGGAAAGAAGCTAGAGTTTCGTGCACTCTAAGAAAACGATGGGAATGGAACACTATCATCATCTTTTCGGCTTGGGATCCATAGCATAGATCCCATCTGTAGTCTTTAAACCACTCTCCATTTCCCCATTAAGTTTCTGCGGGGATTGCCGCCTGGATTTTGTGGATAGGAACAGCGGAAAGAAGCTAGAGTTTCGTGCACTCTAAGAAAACGATGGGAATGGAACACTATCGCCATCTTTTCGGTTTGGGATCCATCCCATTAAGTTTCTGCGGGGATTGCCGTCCGGCTTTTGCCAAAGTCCAGCGACTCTCGGCTGTGTAAAGAGCATTCGAAGCTACAACCCGTTGAAATATTTCAACATAAATCTTTAAAGAATGTTAACGCCAGCAGCACAGGATATATACTGCCCTGTCCGCCCACTCCCTGTTCGGGCTGAATTTTTCGACCTTTTTTCCCCAGACCCAGACCCAGCCCCCGCCCCCGCCCTCGCCCCACCCACTCGCTCAAGCTGCAGCATGATGCAGCAGCAGTGGCAGAGGGAACCCGGGGGTCAATGCACTCGCCCCAGGGGCTCTACGGAGGATGCAGCCGTAGCCGGAGCCGTAGCCGTAGCCGGAGCCGGAGTCAGACGAGTTTCGTTCGCCGATGTTTACGTTTTGAGCCGCGGCATTTTCGGGGCTTGTCAACGCCATTGCCATCCTGGAGGAGGTCCTGCCAACTTATTACTGAAAAACTGAAGCCGCCCCGAACATTTTCTTAGGTGCAAAAAGTTGCACTTTCGTGGGTGGTGGCGGGGGTGGGGGCGGCGCCGTTTGCAGTCTGCGTGGGCGGGCGGGTTGGCGGTGTGGTCGCCCGGTCGCCCGGTCGGATGGTGGGCTCCCTCGGATGGCTGGTTTGTTGCCGTGTTAAGTGAAGTGTAGGCGCAAAGGCGAAACACGCGAAACTTGTCGGTGCAATGTAATAAATTTCGAAAACGTCCAAGCCCCCCGGCTATAACGAATGGCTTGCCCAATGCACATGGACAGCCGAGCGGCACCGCCACCACCCGATGGCCCCTGTCCTCCTGTCCTCCTGCCTCCTGCCTCCTACCTCCTGCCCTCGTGCCTTGTTAGGCCCGCTGCAATAAGTCTTTTATGGCTTAGAGTTGGTTGGTTGGATGGTTCCTCCACTAGAGCTGGAGCTGGAGCTGGAAAACTTTTATCATTAAAGTTGAAAGGTAAAATTCGACCATAAAAAAAAAACAACAACAGCAACAACAAAAACAATAGCGCACAAAAACTTAAGAAACGTGACTCACGAAATCCGCTCACGTGACTTAGTCAATAAGGCGGGCGAAAGTTTCTACATGAAAATATTCCCAGTGACCTTCCATGGCTTGGGGCTTGGGGTCATCGCAAGAAGTAGGGTCTCAAGCAGTATCTCAGGGAGTGCATCAGGCGATAAGCAATTTCTGAAGCCGCCCTGATTGGAAGGACCTTGTAGAGGCCTTTTTTCCATGCCAACAGCAGGGGCGGTGCAGCTGAACAGCTGGCTCGCCCTGTTCAATTTTAGACCGACTAATGGGCTCATCTTTGCCGAGGCTTTGTAGAACTTTAAGTGGTAGAAGAGACTGGCAGAAAGCTATAAACTCTTTGTGTTCATTTAATTCCTTGGGCTTTTAATCAATCGTTGAATGCTTCATACCCGGAATCCTTTTGTTGTATTTGCCAAAACCGAAACCGAAACCGAATATCGTAACAGTTTTGCTCACACACTTAACCGCCAACAATTTTAATCGATCGCACTTGTGCGCCATTGAATACGAATACCCTCAATCTAAGCACCACCTCTTTCAGGTAACTGAACTCTCGTTTAGCCGCCATTCGGCATCACCAGCCACCACCCACCACCCACACACCCACCACCCACACACCCACCATCCACCCACTTTATTTCATTTCATTTCGTGCCATTTGCAATTTTCCATTTCGGGTGCACATTTATTGATTTCGCCATGCAATATATTTGGCTTGGGGTTAGACCACCACCCCCACGCCCCACCCACGCCCCACCCACGCCCCACGCCCACGCCCCGCCCTCTATGTAAAGTGTGTGTGCTCTTTTTTGTTCTGCTTGTGTTTTTTCTTTTTTTTTGGCAATTTGTTAATTGTATTTCATATGGAAGCGTTGCATGCACTGAAAATTTTATTAGCTCTGCTCCCAAATGCAAATATTCGTAGAAGAGCGGAGCCAGGAATCAGCGTAACAGTAAATTGAAAAATAAATGGAAATAAACTGAAATATGCATGGCATGTAAATACACGAAGTCGATGCCTTCAAGGCTCTGCCCTCCGCCACCCTTTGCCTTGATTCTATTTAATATTTTTGCATAGTACCCGCCTTGAGCCTGGGGTTCTCCCTTGTACTCGTATTGATTTCGGTTCCTCTTGTTATCGCCGAATGGGAAACCGCTTTGGGGACTCTCTGGCAGTGCCTCAATTAGTCTGGCATTCTGCTGGACCAGCTTAAAGCTGGGATATCCCTTCCCCCACATCCTTACCATCGAAGCTCCAGCTGTCTCTGCCTCTGTCTCTCCCTCTGCCTCTGTTTTCCCCGCTGGCTATGCAAATTCAAATTCCTCGTCAAAATATTACTTGCAAAGTAAACGCGTGTAACTCGGCACCGACTACGGAGCCCGGAGAATGGAAAACCAAACAAAAGTACACACAAAAGTTGAGCAGAGTACTCCAAGAAAGGACACGACGAAAAGAAAAGTCGAATTTCTAGATACACTAGATACCCCGACTCGTTGGATTTTTGATCAATCTTAAATTGGTTATTAGCATCCTGTAATTGGCAAGCCCCTTGTGTCTGGTTAGCTTTTGTTTGGGGGCTCCCTTTGGGGACCTATCACGGGCCATCCTGGGGCTTGGACAAAATCTGGTTACCCGCTGCAAGTGCAACAAAATATACTACATGCGAGTACAACTGCAAATATTTTCTTATGCTTGTATGAAATGCAAGCATGTAAATACCAGACCCTCCCCCCCCCACAACCCCCACCCCCCACACGGACTGACATGCATAACTTTTTCCGACACAATGCGGCTGCAGTCTTCTCTTGTGGCACCATGAAAAAGAAGGAGAAGGCGAGACAGACGAGACAGACGAGGGCTGTTTGAATAGTAAGTTGTTCCGTAACTAAGCTCCAAATCAAACTCTTCTTCGGTCTGCTTTTTGGAATTCGTTGCGATTCGCTTTTTCGTAGCATACTTTTTGGGGACAACATTTGCTGCCAAAACTTTGCCTTGGCTCTTTTGCTTTTTTCAACG